ATCCAATAGTGCAAAATGCAAATTCTTGCATTTTTTTGACTGGTCTAAAGATTTCGATCAGGAGTGTATACACATACTATCTATATCTATATATTTTACGGAATTATCTTGCTCCGTTCAGTTAAACAAGCTTTTCTTTAATCAATCAATTTTATTGATTTGCTGTACTTAATTATTTTACAAAGTTGTTAATGCACTTTAAACTTCCCTCTTTTTGTCTTTTTCGTTACTTTATTCAGCTCATTATGTCTGCTCTAATTGCCATTATCCCTACTATTTTATTACGTTCTTCAGTTTTATTTTGTATTTGTTTATTGATCTAGTTCAGTAAAAATTAGTACGAGGCATGCTCAACACATTTTCATTTACCCATAAAAACTAATTAATTATGTGTTTACGATCCAGTTTATAGGTGTTTGTTTTGTATTTATTGCTGTTTCCGTCTTGTTTTCCAGTTTATCGTCTCAGAATGTTAAAAGTGTACAGGTTGTGCTTTCACTTAGTGTTCAAGAAGACATTTCAGTTGAGAAGTTGTTACATATCAGATAACATGCTATATTACATAACACCATTCATGTGTCGCACATGATTAGGTTGCTCACTGTGGCCATCAATAGTAAACACGCACACCCGACCGTGAACTGGTAACTTGTAAAGAACACACTGGGTGAGTGAAGTGTTGGAGGGAATTTGTTGACAGTGTGGATGACACCAGCAGCTGGCTGCAGGCAGCCCAGTTTCTAACTGTTCCCTCAGCCAGTGATCGATGGTCTGGTCTAATAATGTGCCACTGAGGACAAAGTGGAACCAGTCACCCTCTGCGCTGTGTGTGTGTAAATGTGAAACAGATCTGACCTTCCACCTCAGGTGCGACGAGGTCGAGCATTTGGCACAGGCAGTCCTCGAAGGGAAGGGGCTCTATAGCCATGGCCTCCAGTTTTTGACACTGCTCCTCGTAGAAGTACTCCAGCTCGTACATGCTGAGCACCCCGTCCCCGTCCAGGTCCATGCAGCGGAACCAGTACTCCATACTGAACAAAGAAAAAGCSTTTGGCGAGTTGGACCTTGTGACATGTACTATAGCTCTGTGAAAAGGATATGAACAATGTTGATAGTTCTTTAAACAAACTTAGTTCAGAGAAAAAGTTTAAATCTGATCTGACTGAGGAGTTAAAAGCTAGTTTGAGTGGAGCCAGGACCAAAATGGATTGCTGCAGTCTTGAAGCAAATTTAAAATAGTTCATGTAAATGAAACTTTTACACTTCTATCAGTTTTGCATTTAATAGTTATTCTGGTTTTACTTATTTATAAACATTAAAAACAAAAAATGAGGGACGATAAAACACAATGGGCTGGAGAGATCATAAAAACCCAAATGGGCTTATAAAGTCCAGAAAATCCAGCAACTGTAGTTCTACAGAAAAGGATGATGTAATTCATGCCTCCTTCTTGCAGAATATGACTGATAGTTTGTGAAATTATGTTTCAACGAAATGCTATAAAACTTTTGAGATTGGTTCTGTTTTAAGATTACAGCAAACCACTTTGGTCTTTGTTCAGTTCGGACTGTTTGCTTGACAATAAAGTTAGAAARATCTCTCCAAACTGTGTTTGTTTAAGGAGTTCTCTAATTATTGTTCAAACCTGTCCACAGAAAGCAGGTCAGAAGAGCTGAACTGCTGCTTTAAGAATGGTACAGAGACACCATGTGGTTAAAGGTAAACATACCTGGTGTAAGTCTTCTTGTCTTCCTCAGATATGAGGAACCAGACAAAATCAGCATAACTCAGTTTTCCCTGTTTATTCACCCGCCTGTCTCTGAGAGAATAAACATCATTTTAAAACTGGTAGGTGAGACTCCTCTTCAAACACAATGAAAATGTTAACGTACCTTGTTACAGTTCCTGAAAATATTCTCTCAATCATTTTCTGTGAAACAGCTAGAAAACACAGACCAAAGCAGACACTTAGAATCAAGCTCTTTCAATAACATTTCAACTTTCTCACAACACACATTCTCAGACTTGCTGGTGTAGTTTTCCCCTGACAACCTCATAAATCCTCTGGTCATCATTTCGACCCTACAGTGGTAGAAATCGTTCCAGACGTGGCGTCACTGGAGCAGAGTATATAGGCTGCTCTCCTATTGATCTTGTGTCTGATTTCCACTGCCTCACTTATAAACCATCAACCAAGAACATGTGGTGTAAAAGGAGGAAGTGTCAGAGATAAATCTGTTCCTGGCTGTATGCGAGGAGCAAATCTGGTCTAGATAACAAGAAAAAAAATGGTGTTTTATTGTTTCATGAAGTATTGGAGGTGCTCAGAGGTGGCAAGAAGGTATATTTATTCTGTACTTATTGTCTAAACTTCCCCACCATTTGTATTAACATGACATGAAGCCTAAACAGATAAAACTGTCAAAGTGATGGTGTGTTTGTTTACCTTGGTCATTGTGCCGGGCCAGGTCTTTCTGGTCAATATAGAGGTCATGATCGGTGTCAAGCTCCCAGAACTTGCAGTAGATAACATAAAAATGTTCATAGGAGAAGTACTCTGTCAGCTGGTTCACATCTTCCTCTTGCTCCAGCAGCGCTACGTTCTACCCAACAAGAGGTTTGTTTTTAGGCTTTCATAATTACAGGTTTATAAATATAAAAAGATACACCAGGGTTCCTACAGTTTAAGGCAAGTTAAATTTAAGACTTTTTAATGCCAAGTGAAATTAAATTTAAGACCAATTTCACAATAAACACAAAGGACAAAAAGATCAAAACTGGCAGAAACTCATGAATCCAAGTATTTTTGGTTGAAGTATTCAAATATTCCTAATAAACCAATTGTTTTTAACCATATCGAACTGCTTTTTTTTTTGTCAAATAAAGCTAAAACATTCTTAGCAGTCAGTTTTAAACTTTATTTAATTCCTGGAAGTTCTCTAAGACCCAAAATTTGGAGTTTTAGGACCCACAGTGGGGTCTCAACCCTAGAAACCTTAAAGTGCCTATGACATCAACTTTTTTGTAAGAAATTTGAATACATTTTTGGAAATACAACATTATTAACATATTACGAAACAAATTTCACGATGCTCTGACGGACGGTTGTTGAGATATTTGCATGTGAAGCAACAGGAAGTGATGTCAAAGAGGAATGTCTGCATGTGAACGTTTAAAAAATGTTACCAATTATTTTAATATTTGAGACAAATTACAAACATCCTATTTACAATGRGTTAAKATTTTTAAGACTTCTGACAGATTGATTTAAGACCTTTTAAGGCTAATTAAGGCTTTATTTTTGGATTGATGAATTCAARGCCTTTTAAGAGTTTTTAAGGATCTGTAGGAACCCTTTTTCCTCAAACTGTAAAATTCAATTTGGTATGTTTTGCGCGTGAACAGCAAAAAAAGGCATTTTACCTGGAGGAAGTTACTTTTCCTAAGCTCGGTACATGTTATCTTCCCCGTCCATGTCTGGTTCACATTGTAAAATATTCTTTGGATTACCTAAAGAACAATCAGTGTTGTTATTGTGCAAACATCATGTACTGCTTGTACATTGTTGTTTTAATGGCAGCATACCGTGGTGATGTAACGTGAGTGAAAGTCTGGTGCTTCTTTTAGAAAGGCCAAACCTGCATGCGAGTTGACCACATCCTGAAAATACACAATTTAGTTTTATTACTTAGTCTTGACACAAGAAAACAATACATCCAACTCTATAAAATGTAATGCCTTCTACTCTAACAGACATCCGTTATTTCTGGAAGACAGAATCTACGGCTGTCAGAGTAGCAGTATAAATACTCCCTAAGTGAAAGATCAGAACACAGTGTTCTACTGCACATAATTTTATCCCAACATATGTTTTCTACATTGAGTAGAAAATACTCCAGACCTTATTATAAGAAGCCATCGATTTAAAAAATGCCAATGGAAAAAAAAAAGATGTTTATTAGTGACTTATTGTCTCCTTGTGTCATAAAATCAGACAGAGTGGTGCATTTCTCATAAATTCTTGGTATGTCCTTATTATGACCTCCTTTCTACCATGTCTGTTCCTTATTCTACACAGTTGCCTTACAGTAAAGAAAAAAAAAACTGTTGACATAAATGCGAAGGCGGCAATGAAATTAAAAGGACTTATTTTAGGGCAGTCGTCGTGCCTCTTTGACTCTCGCTGAGAGAAATTAAATCATAGAAAACACATAAATCACAGGCCGCAGGAAACAGGCGGGGACAGTCAAATCAACTCCACTGCAATCCGCCTTTCATTCATCAAAACAGTCAAAGGCCATTCGCTGAGCTGAACCGTACAAATTAAACAGCACGTGCCAAAAGGAATCTGCTAGTATGCTAACGGGTGTTCAGCTCAGGCTGCAAGCTCTTGGAAGCATAATAAAACTAAACTCAACAAAAACATCGAGTGTAGKATAGGGCTAAACAATTTTTTTAAATCTTCCATTTCTGCTAAGCCTGAACACATCTTCAGTGCAATCACCCTCCTCCAACAGACTTATAATAACATTCCTAAATTAGTCCTCTGTCACAAATAAAAGCACAGTCTCAGCAGGACAGTCCACACACTAAGCTCAGTTTGCGCCACCATTGCAGTTTTGCTCCCACCCCGCCCTGCCAACTCCAGCCCTCTCCTTGGGTGTGCTGCAGGCCGTACCTGTAGGAATGGAATAAAGTCGTCTTGTTCCAGGTAATTACAGCCAGGCTTGGCCAAGAGGTGCACAAATTTAGAAGCATCATCGTGACAGGTCTGCAGAGTTCTGGAGAGAGAAAAAAAAAAAAACGGACAGCTGGTTGTGATGTTGCTCCCTTGTTGATTTTTAACATTCTTTTGAATTTTAAAAACTCTACAAAAATTTTAAGTGCAGCCGTAATACATTCTGAAATTAGGATTCTGAATTGGTGTTGGATGATTATGTTGCACCGAGTGTTACGGTTATGGTAATATTAGAAAGTGGCCTCTGATCTGAGAACGGTTCAGTCAGGAGCTAAGGTCAAATGTCATGTCTGTCCAGTCCTCCGGAGGCTCACACATTAATACAAGGACATGCCTGTTGCACAAAACATCATTCAGCACACAGCCACCATTATAAAAACTTCACAGTATTTCAACTAACTTCACATTGAAAGACAATGAATGGATGTTTTTATTTTTGTGCTGTACTGCAGATAAACAGCAACGTTGCTGTTTACAACTATGATTTTTAGAAAGGCAATGAATTCTGTTTGGAATGAAAAAGGAAAATGCCATAATAACAATGACAAACAGCTGCATGCAGTGTTTATGTTCCTGAGAGTGTGGTCATCGTTGTCCAGATGAGACTGACTGTATGAGCCATTTAGCTGAGAGTGAATGCACCAATAGTTCAGTTGGAACAAGAGCAGCTATTGTCTTACTTTCTCCAAATAGCCACAAACTTGTGAACAGACACGAAACCCGTCCTGTCGCCTCCAGCTGAGCAGAACAATGGCATTTTCCAGTAGAGGGGACACTCACAGGCCTAAAGAGACAACAAAATAGTCTGTGGTAAAGATGAAAAATACAGATGAACACATTAAAAAAGAAAAAGTTAATAAAYGTACAGGTTTTATTTCAGTTTATTAGTTAGAAAAGCAGTAATAGATCATTTATAAATTTTCTTGAGTAAACCTAGCTGTCTTTGCCATAAAGGTCTCCCCAGGCTACTGCCCACATTTCTTCACAACACGGAAATAATATTTTCCGTGGGGTATTAAAATCAGCAAACCAATAAGTCAGGAGCCAAATCGCACTAAAAAAATACATTTCTGGGTGGCAGCTCAACCACGATGCTCTAACTTGCGTTCTCACCTTGGCAACTGGCCCCATGTCTTCAATGGTGGCTCTTTCATTTGGAAATTGTGAAAATATTTTCTCAATTTTGGAAATGAGGTTGTCAGTGTTGAGGTTGGCTTGGGGCTGGCCCTGTGGGAAGTAAAACTTGGGAATGCTTTCACTCAGTGCATTGGTAACTGGCTCTTCCGTCCTCACCTGGGCCTGAGACAAACACAGAAACAAACTATTAGCCACTCAAGCTACAAAATGCTAAAGCATATTTCAGTGAGTGCTGAAGATCACTGTAACACAAGCATCATACTTATGTGACTATATCGTTAGGAAACCCTAATGCTCATCATGGATGATCTGTGACTATTAAGCACTTTTTTATCCATTTACCTGTAACAAATACACCTGTGACTGATAATCCTACCTTACTGTAATTCTGTAATATTCATTGTAAATGAATGTGCCAACATAGTGCTGGGCAGTATATTGTTTTGTACCGAATACCTGGTTTTTATTTTTGTTATGATATGAATTTTTTGAATACCGGACATTCTGGTTTAAATAGCGGAACATTTCTTCGCAGCCGCCAGTAAACTTTTGTTTCCCGGGGGACATTTTTCCTTGCTGCACCGCTATGTGCGTTAGCATGCTAATATTTGGAGCAGCTAGTTGCAGCAGCGGGTGGCGATTCCGCTGCTTATATTGACTGACGTTTAAAAAAACATCCTATTTTCACCATCGCTGAATGTAGTAAACACCTCTTCAGTGACGTGCACAGTTAGATTTAATGCAGTTTGTTAATATTGAGACGTTATGCTGATGGAGACTTAACGTGGTTCTATTGTGAAAAGCCCGCAGGAAGTAGTTCGTAGTGGAGTTGGAATTGACTGGTGTGCAAGGCGAGTCGTGCTGATAAGCTTTAATAAATAACATAAAACAATAAACCCGATCATAATCTTTTCTTAACCCTCCTCCTTCACGACTGGGCCAAAATGCCTGACTACTGTCTCCAACCACCAGTCAGAGAAGAACAGACACAGAGGAGGGAAACAGAGACACAGACAGAGGTACAGTAAAAGAAAAAAGTCAATAAGCAGGCATACATGTCAACCTCTTCGGACGTTTACCTGTATTAAAAAAGCCTCAAAAATCTGTACAACTCTCACCGGGGGGGAGGGGGTCTATCGGCTGCGGACATGAAAGCGCCCGCTGAGCAGCAGGAGAGGAGAGCGGAAAAAGTTCTAAACTTATTTWTAGCGGCAGAACAGGTTAAAAGATGGCTGTTTTATGTTATTTATTGTTTTTTTAATCATCCTACAGACTCTGACATGTTAGATAAATTTGAAAATCAGGTTTTGAAAAATCCGTGAGATTGCTCTATACGCCTGTATATCTGCAAAATGACGTAAAATCCTTATAATTTACGGACAATCTGTACAAGTTGACATGTATGAGCAGGGTTTGTACATTTTATTATCAGCTGAGGTGTAAATGTTGAAAATACCGTGATATAAAATTTTGATCATATCGCCCAGCCCTATGTCAACATTCAATAATATGTGTGCCCTTAATTGACCCAAAAATCATTTTAGATTTATGGTTAAATTTGTGCTTGACCTATTTTCTGGTTAATGAATAATTCTGAAAAGAGCATGCAACGTTAATGCTTCTAAAACTACACAAACATATTTGAAAAGTGGCAATGTGCAACTTCATTTTTAAATAAAAATGTGCACTGAACATACGTATATAGATTATATGTAACATATTGGTGACTTGCTCCTTTGTAACAAAAAAAAAAAAAACTGGGAGGGAAGCTGTCAGACTGAAGAGTGAGTCCTATTTGGCCTTGTTGGCTGGTAGAACTCCGGAGACAGTAGAGGAATATTGGCAGGCCTAGCGGGCTGTAGCCCTGGCTGTTGCCGAGGCAAAAGCTTGAATGGAAAAGGAGTTCGGTGAGGCCTAAAGAATAAAGATTTTCATTTGGCTCTGAGAAGATTCTGGCAAACCATCTGTCAGCTGTGGTGTGGTGCTGTTGACCTCAACCAGTGATGTCGGGAGTTGGAAAGAATACTTCTCTGACCTTTCAATCTCACTGGCACATCTTCCATGGAGGAAGCAGAGTTTGGAGATTTTGGGGTTGGTCTGTCAATAACCGAGGCKGAGGTCACTAAAAAGCTCCACAGTGGCTGGGCTCTGAGGTGGATGACATTGGCTCTGGATGTTGTAGGGCTGTCTTGGTTGACGAACCTTTGCAACAGCATATGGGCTTATAGGGGCAGTGCCACTGGATTGGCAGACCATGGTGGTGGGTCCCCTCTTCAAAAAGGGGGTTGGAGGATGTGTTTCAAATATAGGGGCATCTTTCTCCTTAGCCTCCCCAGTAAGGTCTATTCTGGTGTGCTGGAGAAGAGAGTCTGACCGATAGCTGAACCTCAGATTCAGGAGGAACAATGCACATTCTGTCCTGACTGTGGAACARTGGACCAGCTCTTCACCCTCACTAGGGTCCTTGAAGGGTTATGGGAGTTTGCCCATCCACTCTAGATGTGTTTGGCGGACTTGGAAAAGGCGTTCCACTGCGCTTCTCAAGGTACACTGTGGGGGGTGCTCAGCGAATAATGGTACATTTACAAACACATTTTGAGCATCAGGAGCATCTGGTTTACATGCAAAGTCAATAGTGTATGCGCATCTAGGGGTGTCTAGAAACCGAGCAGCGCTTTTCGAAGCATTTCGCACGTCTTGAGCGTTTTCAGTGGGTGAGGCACATCCCAAGCATCTGATGCACGAGTTGGAAAACCTGAACTTTTGATGCGTCGCATCAACCAATAAGAGAGACTCTGCTCAGTGACGCACTGGTGATGAGCTGGAAATACCGGAAGCCCGAGAAATAGGATCACACAAACAATGGAGGAAAAACTGATAGTCCGATCAGTTATGATCATTCCAGTGTCCATTATCGTGATAGAAATAAAAAGGACTTTACCTGGAGGACTATTTGTGAGGAAGTCGGCATGTTTGGTAAGTTATCTAAATTACAGTTAAAAAGGCTCCTCCTCTCGAGCGTTTAAAGAAGCGTGTCTACYTTCACATCAAATGCGTCTGTCCTCACTGGACACCAGCATCAAGATGCGTGCGTTTTGAGATTTTTGGAGGCGCACAARGTGCTTGGTGTAAATGTAGCATGAGAGATTGTGCGTCCGTTGTTACGGGCCAGTCACTCCCTATATAAGCAGTGCAAGAGTTTGGTTCTGATTGCCGGCAGTAAATCAGACCCCTTTGATGGAGCTGCCTGTTGTCACCAATTCTGTTCATAACTTTAATGGACAGAATTTCTTGGTACAYCCAGGGGGTGGAGGGAGTCTGGTTTAGTGGCCTCAGGATTCCATCACTGCTATTTGCTGATGACGTGTTCCTGTTGGCGTCATCATGCRGTCATCTTCAGCTCTCAAAGAAGCGATTCACAGTCGAGTGTGAAGTGGCTGAGATGAGGATAAGCACCTCCAAATCCGAGTCCATGGTCCTCAGTCGGAAAGGGTGGATTGATCTCTCCAAGTTGGGGGTGAGGTACTGCCTCAAGGGGAGGAGTTAAAGTATCTTGGGGTTTTGTTCACGAGAGAAGGAAGAATGGAGCGAGTGACACAAAGATGGATCTGTGCGGTTTCTGATGTTTTGTGGACTCTGTACCAGTCTGCTGGGGTGAAGAGAGAGCTGATCATTCGTTCATACCCTCACCTATGGCCACAAACTTTGGGTAGTGACCAAAAAAACAAGACTGCAGCTACAGGCAGTCGAAATGAGATTTTCCGCTGGGTAGCTGGCCTCTCTCTTAGACAGGGTGAGAAGCTCTATTATCCAGGAGCGACTCAGAGTAGAGCCACTGCTCCTCGACATCGAGATGAACCAGCTGAGATGGTTCGGGCATCTGGTAGAGATGCCCCCTGGATGCCTCCCAAGGGAGATGCTTTAGGCATGTCTGACTGGGAGGAGACCTGGGGAAGACCCAAGACACACTGGAGACCTTGGCTGGTTCGGGAAAACACCTTGGAATCCTCCCAGAAGAGCTGGAAGACGTGGCTGAGGAAAGAGAGGTCTGTCTGGGCTTCKCTGCTCAAGCTGCTGCCCCCATGACCCAACTCGGAATAAGCAGTAAATAATGGATGGATGGATATTGTCTTGCTCCTTTGTGATAAATAACTGGTGATAATAGTTTTGGTGAATTATACAAGCACCATCAACATACATAGTAAATTAGGACATAACCACAAAAATGTATTATGATATATGATGTTTTAAAAAAACTAATTTATTTTCGTTCTTCTTTAATGATCTTTTCAGTCTAATAAAAATAAACAGCTAAGACTTGCAGATTATGCTGTGATCTGCTTTAGTATGCTTGTGGTTTGACTAAGAAATAATTAAGACCAAGAGCAAGTTTTAACAAATCAATCAGTAGTTTTTAACTTTTTCAAGTCATGGCAACATCCAGAAGAATCAGATTATTTATCTTCCCCATCAGAAGCACATCTGTGGACACAAACCTATACACAAACAAAACCACTTAATAAAATCTATTCCAACTGGTATAATGTAATGTATTCTATTGTATTAATTGTCATTACGATATTTTATCTTTTTCCAACATTCTCCTACAAACTAAAAAATTGTGTCATGACCCTCCAGGATTRGAAACACAGTGGACGGACCTTTAAAACCAAAAAACAAACAAAACTGTTAATCCACTGTAGTATCCACCTTCAGTATTTCAGCAACTGATACTGTGATGTGCTTTTTTTTACAGTCAGAAAAGTTAAACAAAACTCTTGTTGGACAACTCAATAAATGTGGGATAAACCCAGGACTGTGGACATAGCCATGCTTTTTAATTTTCCACTCATGATATAGAAAATCAAATTCAATATTTTGTGTTATATTAATACTGTATGATTCTGTAAAATGATATAAATTATTCTGAGTTACACAAACATGGCTTTAATAAAGTGGCTCACACTCAGTAGAGCGTTTATAATGTTTTTAGATGATTACTATGCAAACATTTCAAGCTAAAACCATTATAAAATTATACTTTTTATTCAGAATTTGAAAATCAAACAAATCTTAATATTTTGGTAGATCAAAATAAACCACAGATTGCTTTTCCAAATCACATTAAAAGGGGTAGATCAGATTTGAGTTTTCTCCTAAAT